AAAAATTGTTTCTGGGCAAATGAAATGTGAAAGTCACTTGCCCATAGGGCAAGTGGTAAAAATCCTTAACGTCAACCCCTGCTAATACAAAGTGAATCTAGTAGAACTTTTTATTGCCTACCTGGAATGGGTGACAATAGTTGAATAAACTTTTGGCTCTCAAATTGGTATTGGTGCCCTATTTGTCGGTACTTGCCGATACCGATACCAACATTTTAGTGCTGGATCGTGGCCCCACCCGATACTGGTATCGGTGCAACACTTCTGCAAACCACTGAGTTAAGGTGAAGTAAAGCAATCTGGAGTCTTTCATCTTTCATTATTAATCCATACACTTTGTGTGATACACCAGGAAGCAGAACAAGAAAAATCCATAACATGATGCTGCCACCACCATGCTTGACTGTAGCCATGGTTTTCTTAAGTTTAAAATCTACCCTTGATTCCTTCTAAATATTCTTATTTTGATCACAGAAGAATTTCAAATACTGTTTGTTAACAATAACAGCTTAATATTTTGTTTTTTTAAAGTGTAACCCTTTGTATTGTAATTACCTTCTCAAATCCAACATCATCTTTAAAAAAAAGGTGAGAAAAATGTTTTTAAAGAATTTGAATCTATAAATAACAACTTGCGTCTACTGTAGCTGCAACTGTATTGTTTGAACACATGTTTTGTACCCAGTCTTACACATTTGAACAAAGCTCTCCTGCTGGAATTCATTGTTGGCAGTGTTACTATGTGAGGGATTTGTTTGGAAAGCTTTGGGACTTGCTATTATCCTGGGACTGTCTTAGCAATTCACACGTCTCGTTATGAAACGGCGCTGTTGACCTATTTTGGGAGCATTTCGGTTTACGATGGGGGAAAAATAAAAGCTCCTCTCTATGCCAGCCTGTAAACTAAGAAACTCAGTCCTCCCTAATTGAGTTTGGGCCTAATGTAATTCGAAGCTGTGAGAAAAATGCCTCCAAGATGACAACAGACTGAATTATAGCCTTAAATGATTAATCATAAACTGTATGGTCTAAAAAAAAAAAAACATTAAAACATGATAAAAATTTTAGAATAAAAAATCTAAATGTTGGAATATTATACTTCTAGTCTGAATAATCGTAAATTTATTAAGAATTTGCTTTATTCTTTAAAGTTTATTTTTTCAGGGAGCTTTTTAAAATAGGCAGATTCTGCCAATTATGAGAAATGTTTGAGTCAAATTTTAATTTGTAAACAAATAAAAAGCAAAACCTAGGGCTAAATCTTGTAAATTTTTTGGATTCTAGACCACAGAAACCACAGAGAGCCGATATCCATAAATGGAGTAAATGTTCTCGCAAAAAAATCTCTTATTTCTCCTGTTTGTTTTTTTTTTTTTTACTGTTTTAGATCATTAGAGGAACTTTAATGTCAATTAAACTGACATATTCTGTTTATTTCTACACTAATCAGGCCAGTGTGTTGCTGCTGAAATTCAGTTCAACTTATTTTATTTTTTTATGTGGTTAGCCAGATATTTCATGAGTTTTAAAAAGGGGGTAACTGTTGTTTTTTTTAAGCTGTTTTAAACCAGAACTACATTCACGTGGCAGAACTGGGTCAGCAACTTGGAAATAAGCGTTGCTCAAGAGCACATCGACATGCAACAAGAGAGGGAGGTGGAATAAAACCTCAAACTTTACGATTTAGAAAATGATTTCTATTGCCACATAAAGCACCGTAAGGAACCATTTGCTTCCTTTCCATATTTATCCAATTTTCCCTTTTTTTCTGTTCCTGTTACTGTAGATCGTTAGAGAAACGTTGATGTCGGTTAAACTTGAGTGAAAAATTATGGTTAAAAATAATGATTTAATTGCTGAGGGGTAAAAAATAAAAAAGTAAGCTTTACAATCACTAGGTTTTATGTGAAATAGTATTAGGCCCCTAAACTAGCTCCACCCCACCTTGCTTTTTAGGTGTAAAAATGAAACAGACCTTAATGTCCTTTTTAACTTTCATAATAATGCTATCCTTCCAGAATATCTTATTATCAGAGGCCTGCAGATATTTAGATGCTTGTGGAGCTGTTGGTACCTCATACATGAAGCCCTCTTGGAGTAATCTGGGTAGGATTGTTACTCTACATCATGGGTTCCTCAGTTCCCACGGCACTAGAACCTTTTGACCATTTCCAGACAGAAAAGTGGCTTTGTTTCCGTTTGTGACAGAACTTAGATGACCTTTAAGCCGAGATATTTCAGTCAGATTTAGTATTTCCTGATTCTACAGATCCAACACTAATCAGGCCAGTCTGTGGCTTCTGAAATTCACCTCAACTTATTTTATTTTTAAATGTGTTTGGGGTTTTTTATACTGCAAAGCTGCTTTTGATATTTGTTTCCGTTATTATATTAATTTATCATATCTGTATTTATTTAGGTTATTATTCCCAAACATTAACATTTGTTTTTTTAAGTTTAATAAGAAATCTGCCAAGACTGAATAGCAGCATTAAAACTTACCAAGACGCTGATTACGTCCCACTTTAGTTCATATAAAAAAAAACATTATAGGGCTGAAACAATTAATCGGATTAATCATGATTGATTATTGAAACAATAGTCAACTAATTTAGTAAGCAATTAATTGTTTCCTGGAATATAGAGACTGTAAAATGTGTAAAAAAAATCAAAACATTTTGCATTTAAGATATAAAAAAAAACATTTTCTCCTGTCAATATGCTCTATTCAGCTCTCCTGAAGGCGCCATTACCTGAAGTAGTTTCACCTGGTTTAATTTCGTTAAAAAAATCTTCTTTAAGGAACTTTTTTCTATCAGATTTTTTTCTAATCGACTCAAAAATAATCAAAAGATGAATCCATTTGCTAAATATTCGTTATTTGCAGCCCTTCCAGATTATCATCCTAAGGAGTCGCAGGTGTTGCAAAGAAAAACCCCCAACAATTAAAATGCTTTTACTACGGAAAATACTTTATTCACTTTCAAAGCAAGAATACAGAGACTAGTTCAGACTGACGTTACAATGGAGCCATACAGACACAAAGTCATTTTTTTACAAAGTGGAACCATCGACTGCAAGGAAAGGACTATGAGCAGAGCTTTACATCAACGGCTTTATTGATGAACTAGCTGATCTAAAAGGGTTTGACGGGACGTTAGAGAATCTGAGGGGGAGAAAATATTGCTGTAAAGCTCAAAAAGCCAACGTTCATAATTTATCAACAGCATGGAGCCAGAAATAGAGAAAGGGGATGAATTATAGATCGCTCCCGACACATTTAGACTTCCCCCCTTTATTAACAACCCACATTTACAAAAATAGAAACTTTCTCCACATTTATAAGTTGATAGGTGAATGCTGAGTTAAGTTGATTAAGTGTCTTTTTATTTTCAGAAAAGAGGCTAATTTAACCTAAATACCTCGGCAGGACACTGAATATAAAAAGAACTTAAGGCATTAATGATGAGCTAAAATGATGCAAAAATGTGTTTTTTCCACCAATGACAAAAATAGAGAAAAAAAAAACTCTCAAAAAACATGAAAAATAAAAAAAAATCTTAATATTAATTTGATTTTTCTGTTTAGTTTCCTTTTTTTTCTTAGCGGGACTCACAACAAATGCCCCAGAAACGTAAATATAAACATACATAGTATAAAAGGTTACAAATAAAATATTAAAATAAAGCATGAACACAAGCTAGTATCAAAATGTGATGAAAGCATTTTTAAGTAATAGAATAAAAAAAAAAAATCATAGCAACAAAAAAAAGTTTCTATAAATACTTGTGACATCATCAGTGTCCTGTAAAAAAAACCTCACGTGTCGTGTTTTATAATTATTTCCTCTGGAATAAACGCCGCACTGCTCTGAATTTTTTATGTCAAGTCAGAAACCATCAGTGCAACTTTAATTCAGACACACAAGGCATCCAGTGCCTCTTTATTAGAATTTCGATGGAGCAGGCGGTGGCATCAACAGGGGGCGCTGTGGAGGAAATCTGCTTCAGGACACTTTAAAAAGCTCCAGAGGAACAAAACATATCTGCTGGTAGGGAGCGCAATCAGACCTCAGGAGGTCTCGTTGACTGATCGATCCAGCTCTAAAATTTTACTGCTGCTTCCATTCGCCCTCTGCGACCTGGAGCCAACACCAAGCAAAAATAAATAAATAAAAGATAATAATAGAAAAATCAGAGCGAATAATAAAAGTCCAATGCGGTGCTGATTGCTACCTGTGCAGGTCGAGCAGCAGGTTCTTCTGTGTGTCGTTGCTTTTATTCCGGAAAGGCGGATGCGTCTCCGCCCTGCTCTGCTCCGAGCTCAGCTTCTGCTGCTCCGAGCGGCGCCACGCTGCCATGACGACCGCCGGCGCGTCCTCCCACTGCTCGGGATATTCGCCGCCCAGGCCCAGGAGGTGCGGCTGCTCGTCCTCGAAGGTCGACAGCAAACTCCTGGATTTCACTGAAATTAAAACAGAGACTTTAAACAAAGATGAACCTAAAAAGTAATCACTCCCTTTAACACTTTAAAATGGATCAAATATCGGTTATAAAAACATTCCACATGCTTTTCTCCTCTTTTATAACAAAAACGAAGTTCTTAAAACTTTTCCGCGGCCTACGCTCAGTCCTAACTGCTGTTATTCTAAAAGAAAGAAAGCATCGGTTTGTGTGTGAGCAGGATGTGAGAGGAAGCTGAATTTGATTGTTAAGAAAATTATATCTGATCTCAATTACACCAGTGTGTGTGTGTGTGTGTGTGTGTGTGTGGGAGGTAATGAGGATGTAGTGAAAGGTCAAATCAGTCTCTGTGGCTGTTGCTGCTGAGCTGTAGGTGGAATCTGATTAGTGGTGATGGTATAATGGACCACCAGGGTTTTACAGCCAGGAACTAATGATTCATGACAATGGGAGCAGCAGGGAAGGTCAGGCAAACTGAAAACTTTAGAGAAATGAACAACTTGGTCTGTTTTTTAGTTAGTTTGTCGCACTCAAAGTCTGATTTCAGTTAATCCGCATACATTATTTCATGAGTTTGACGTTTTTTATATCGTGTTACAAACATCTCAATTCAATCCCTGTTTCTTGAGATGATCTCCAACCCTCTTTGGATTTAAATATTAAATGGCATCACTTTTATCAGGATTTAAAAAGCATTTCTTGAGCCTCTTTTACTTTAAATGTTTTGCGTTTGTTTTGCTTCCTCCACTCTCTCTGCTCAATAACTTCCCATTAAGAACAGCTTGATTACTTAGAACAAATCTCTTTAACTTGTTAAAAACAATCTGCTAGGAAAGAGATTTTATTTTTGGCAAATGCAAAAAGTATTTTCTCTCCTTTTTAAAATAATAATAATCTCACATTGGAGAAATTTATCTCTGCATTTAACTCATTGCCTTGGGGAGCAGAGGGCTGCCATTGTGACCACTAGGCCATCACATCCCCTAATGTTAGGTTAACTCACAGATTAGGAAAATAAATCAACCTTATTCCTTTTAAATAGACATTTTAATATTTAAGCAGAATAATAAAGGATTGGTAGCTTAATGCAGC